ATATGTAGTATTATATATGATAATGATATAATAATATTAATAATAATAGTAATAAATACTCCATATGTCCCGTTAGAAGGTTCCCACTTTCCTTTTTTGGATGTCCCATATAAAGGTTCTCATTTCCATTTTAGGAAACAATTAACAATCTTAAGTGACAAATTAATCATTAAATATTAAAAATAATACATTTATAACATCATAGTTATCAATACTAACTATATTATAATATATACCCATTAAAGTTATTTCTCAAAATATAATCGAAGTACTTTATTTAATTATTGTCTAAATAACTGTGTTGTTTTGCTCTGGGAACCTTCCAACGGGACGGAGGTAGTATTAGTTTTAGGGTATCTTACTATCTTGATAAGTATCACCTATATACTCAGTAGTATTTATGTATTAATGTGTATATTTTTATTGAAAAATCACAAATTCACAATTAATAACTTTATGTATTATTATGTGTATATGTATATTAGTTTCTATTTTATTTAAAGTGTTATAACTAATCACTTTATGTTTGGGTGTATGTGTATACAAATAAGAAATTTTAAACGGGTCCGGGTCCTTAACGGGTCGGAATCATATGTACCATACCCGACCCGTTTATTTAAAATACTAACGTTTCCGGATCCGGGTCCGGGTAAACGGAATAAAATATAGACCCATACCCATTAAAAACAACCGGGTCCGGGTCGGGTCCGGGTCTAGACCCGACCCATTGACAGGCCTAGCCGTCCCTCATTTCAGACGAGCGCCCAGCACCGTCCCTCATCTCAGACGAGCGCCCATCGCCGTCCCTCATATCAGACGAGCACCCAGGGTTGTCCCTCATCACAGACGAGCGCCATGCGCCGTCCCTCATCTTCATACGAGCGCCCAGCGCCGTCCCTCGTCTCAGACGAGTGCCCAGCGCCGTCCATCATCTTCAGACGAGCGCCCAGCGCCGTCCCTCATCTCAGACGAGCGCCCAGCGCCGTCCCCCATCTCAGACGAGCGCCCAACGCCGTCCCCCATCTCAGACGAGCGCCCAGCGCCGACCCCATCTCAGACGAGTGCCCAACCCCGTCCATCATCTCAAACGAGCGCCCAGCGCCGTCCCTCATTCTCAGACGAGCGCCCTATGCCGTCCATCATCTTCAGACGAGCGCCTAGCGCCGTCCCTCATCTCAGACGAGCGCCCAACGCCGTCCATCATCTCAGACGAGCGCCCAGCGCCATCCATCATCTCAGATGAGCGCCCAGTGTCGTCCCTCATCTTCAGACGAGCGTCCAGCGCCGTCCCTCATCTTCAGACGAGCGTCTAACGCCGTCCCTCATCTTGAGACGAGCGTCCAGCGCCGTCCCTCATCTTCCGACCGACTCCCAGTGCCGAAGTTTTGTCATAGCGACCGGGCTCGCCATTCCCTTCCAGGATGGTGACCGTCGCCTTTATATGACGATCAGCCATCACTGCCGTCGTCCTCATATCACGATCGGCCCCTCGACCTGATCGTGATTCTATATCTCAAGACCGGCTTCCCCAGCCCCGAGTGCCTTGAGCTAGCGACCGGGCTCGCTATTCCCTTCCCGGATAAGCGATTGTCGCCTTTATATGACGATCGGCTTCATCATTGCCTCATCATCATATGTCGGACTGGCTCCTCATCATCGTCGTCCGCACATCACGACAGGCCTTTCGGCCTCGGCGTGATTATTTATCTCAACACCACCCTCCTCAACGCCGAGAGTCTTGAGCTAGCGATCGGGCTCGTCATCCCTTCCTGGATGGTGACCATCGCTTCCATATGACAGCCGGCTCATCGTCGCTCCATCATCATTTTATTGGACCGGCTCATCATCGTCGTCAGCACATCACGACCGTCTTCTCGGCATGGCGTGATTATCTTTATGAAGACCGGTTTCATCCCCGCACACTAGGGACGTGAATCTTTGCTCGGATTTATGGACCGACCCCTCAGTGTCGACGTCCTTGCATCGCGGCAGGCCCTCTCGGTCTCAACGTGATCATCATACTCTGAAGACCGGCCTCATCCTTCTCACTTTATGGATGAGGACCGCTGCTCGGACTTTGGGATCATCTTCTTAGCATCCCCGCCCGCACATCACGATCGGCCTCTCGGCCTCGACGTGATTATTTATCTCGAGACTTGTCTTAGTCATTCCTTTACCGGATGGTGACCGTTGCATGTTCGGACCGGACCCTCAGTGCCTTCGTCCTCATATCATGACCGGCCCCTCAGCCTCGACGTGATTATTTATCTCGAGACCGGTCTTAGTCATTCCTTTACCAGATGACGACCATTGCATGGATTTTTGGACCAGCCCCTCGGTGCCTTCATCCTCATATCATGACCGGCCACCCGGCCTCGGCGTGATTATCTATCTCAAGACCAGCCTCCTCAGTGCCGAGAGTCTTGAGCTAATGATCGGGCTCACCATCCCTTCCTGGATGGTGACCATCACCTCTATATGACGGTCGGCTCATCATCGTCCCATCATTATATTATCGGATTGGCTCCTTCTTATCGTCATTCGCACATCACGACCAACTCCTCGGCCTCGGTGTGATGATCTATCTCAAGACCGGCCTCCTCAGCGCTAAGAATCTTGAGCTAGCGATCGGGCACACCATCCCTTCTTGTATGGTGACCATCGCCTCTATATGACGGCCGACTCATCATCGCCCCGTCATCGTATTATCGGATTGGCTCCTTCTCATCGTCATCTGTACATCACGACCGGCCTTTCGGCCTCGGCGTGATGATCTATCTTAAGACCGGCCTCCTCAACGTCAAGAGTCTTGAACTAGCGACCGGGCTCACCATCCCTTCCTGGATGGTGACCATCGCCTCTATATGACGGCCGACTCATCACCGCCCCGTCATCATATTATCGGATCGGCTCCTCATCATCGTCGTCCGCACATCACGACCGGCCTTTCGTCCGTGGCGTGATTATCTATCTCAAGACCGGTTTCCTCAGAGCTGAGAGTCTTGAGTTAGCGATCAGGCTCACCATCCCTTCCTGGATGGTGAATGTCGCTTTTATATGACGATCGGCTCATCATCTCCTCATCAACATATTATCGGACCGGCTCATCATCACCTCGTCATCATATTTGGACTGACTCATCAGCGTCGTAGTCCTCATATTCAGACAGGCGTCCATCGCTTCATCCACATATTCAGATAGGCATCCACCGCTTCGTCCTCTTATTCGGACCGGCACATCAGCGTTGTCGTCCTCATATTCAGACAGGCGTCCATCGCCTCGTCCTCATATTCAGATATAGCGAACATCTTGTCGTCTCCGACTGAAAGGCTAGAGGAGCTCAGAGTTCGGCCACATATCTCGGCGTCATCTTTTTTTGATGGTGTGAAGCTCATTTACAGGTCCAATCGGCCATATATCGCTCTGTCGTCTTTATTTGATGACGAGAGACTCATATACAGCCACCTCGGCCATATATCGCTCGGTCATCTTTATTTGATGACGAAGAGCTGATCTACAAGCCCATCGGCCATATATCGCTATGTCATCTTTATTTGATGACGAAGAGCTCATCTACAGGCCCATCGGCCATATATCGCTCTGTCATCTTTATTTGATGACAAGAGACTCATCTACAGGCCCCTCGGCCATATATCACTCGGTCATCTTTATTTGATGATGAAGAGCTAATCTACAAGCCCATCGGTCATATATCGCTCTATCATCTTTATTTGATGACGAAGAGCTCATCTACATGCCCATCGGCCATATATCGCTCCGTCATCTTTATTTGATGACGAAGAGCTCATCTACAGGCCCATCGACCATATATCGCTTTGTCGTCTTTATTTGATGACGAAGAGCTCATCTATAGGCTCATCGGTCACATATCGTTCTGTCATCTTTATTTGATGACGAGGAACTCATTGTAGGCCTCTGAGCCATATCTCGCTCTGTAATCTTTATTTGATGACGAAGAGCTCATCTACAGGCCCATCGGTCACATATCGTTCTATCATCTTTATTTGATGACGATGAACTCATTTGTAGGCCTCTGAGCCATATCTTGCTCCGTCATCTTTATTTGATGACGCGAAGCTCATTTGCAGGCCCACCGGCCATGCATCGCCCCGTCGTCTTTATTTGACGACGTGGAGCTCTTATGCAGGCCCCTTGACCATACATCGCCCCGTCGTCCTTATTCGACGACGTGGAACTCTCATACAGGCCTCTCAGCCATTAGCCTCTCAGCCGTCTTTATTTGATGTCGTGGAGCTCTTATGCAGGCCCCTCGGCCACACAACTCCCCGTCATCCTTATTCGATGACGTGGAACTCTCATACAGGCCTCTCGGCCGTTAGCCTCCCAGTCGTCTTTATTTGATGACGGGGAGCTCATATCGGCCCATCGTCCTTATATTCTGGTCATCTTTATTTGATGACTAGGACTACTTATCATGCTGAGCTGCTCACATCTAGAGACTGGTCTCGGCCATTCCCTCAGCAGACGGACACCGTTGCAGCTCCACACCTAGACTGAAGGGCTCACCCATTTTTCTTCATTTTGGGGGAATCCGGTGTACTCTTTTTCCCTCATTAGGATTTTTTCCCACTGGGTTTTTTCCTAATGAGGTTTTTAACGAGGCATCTCCCCATTGTAGGTCAAAAGGTGTCGACCCTCAGCCCCCTATTGAAGACATCACGATACATGCACTACGCTACTCCTCTTCACCTCACTACATTCACCTCAAGGAGTGGGGGACTGGAAGAGCGGGGGACTTAGCGCCTCCGTTAACCAAAGAAGCATAAATTCAAAATTTTCACGAAGTTTACTCATTAGATGATAGATCGGCACACAGTTCTACTCCCTTTCGCCTCGAGTACTATCGACTCAGGGAGTGGGGGACTCCTGATGGAGTATAAAGTCTCGGACCCCCGGGTCTCACGACTATTGGGCCCGGACAGCGGTCCACTCACGCTTATCGGATGTCATTTTTTTGGATAAATAGTAAATATATATATCCAGAAAATAGCATAGTACAATGCATCAAAACTACAAAGCTAGCTATACTAACTAAAATAGTATCAAACCATTCAAACCCCCCCCCCCACCCCCAGAGAGGGTAGGGGAGAGAAATTTTTATGGTACAATCCAAAACGGCGCGGGACAAGCCCCAACTCGTATCACAAAAATCAAGTAACCAAAGTTGGACCGGCTCAAAAGAGCATGTCCAGTAACGAGTCAAACCCTCTCGTAAGGGGCTGTGCATGAACCAAAAGGCCCAATCACAGCAAGTAGAGAACCCAGTAACCAATTAAAGCGGCATCTCCTAACATCCCTATCGTGGGCCGAAAAACCAGCAAGGTCCAACAGGAGAGCCCACCAGCGCTACAACCCACAACAGCAATCCAGGCAACCTGTCATTCCATCTTCCAGTTTCACACGCTTGGGCCTCAAAACCAGCAAGCAAGTCCAACAGGAAAGCCCACCAGCAATTTAGCCCACAACAGCTCAACAGCAAACCGGCGCACCATCGATTTAGCTTAACTCGCGTGGGCCAAGAAGCCAGCAAGTCCAAAGCCCACCAGCGTGACAGCCCATCCGCGTAGCCCAGCAGTCTTGCCGAAAATTAGGGCAACAACCCAGCACTCCCAGCAGTCCATCGTTCGATCTGCGCCGTAGCCAAATTCAAAATTCAAAAACAGTGGCTGGTCAAACGACAGCCTGGTCAACAGACATACTGTCAGTCAAACCCACCCCACCCCACCCCCAGCCACCCCTTTCAGCGCCGGTACCACCAATCGGTCAGGCGGCTGGAGAAGCGAGGGTCAAACCCAAACCGGAGAAGCACCCCTGCAGTCTGAGAATCCACTTGCCACCACTCACCCCCGTCGAGCCCCGGCGACCCTCGGCGGCGTAGGTGAAATGACAGAGCCATGGCAGAACAACAGTAGCCGGACACCAGAAAACTCAGTAACTGAAGCAATCCACAGTCCAAGCAGCAAGACGAACCAGACTTGAGGGATAAACAGAACCAGAATGCGGAAGAAGGAGACCAGCCCGAGCCTAAAATCCTATTCAGCAACTACCGGAGTAACCGCAGGTTAGGACACCAAAACTCCGGCCCCGGTGGCTACGACTCCATCCCCTAAACCTTGGCCAAGCTTAGGAGTTGTACCGCGTAGTGAAAAGTGGAGGCAACGTGAAAGAACTACACCGGGACCCTTTACCCAGTGCTGCCACGAAAAGACGGCCACCACCCAGAAGATGAAACCCGCCAGAGAACAAGGCAGCTACGAACTCCGGTAGGTCCCGAATCACCCTCAGGACAAACCTGGTCAATCACCGGCGTTACCCACCACCTATGCATCGCCCAAAGCTTAAATCCCAACCCAAACCAACGTCCTGTCCAAAGACGAGAAGCTGCGACGCCCGAGGTTTTCACCCGGGTTGTAGAGCGAGCGACAAGGGAAAGAAAGCAACGTACCATGGAACCATCGTTTGGTTAGTGAACCGGCAAGCCAGACCTCAAGGCAGTCATCTCCTCCGATTTCAAGCTATGTCACCCCCTAGATCTGCTCTGCCCACCAGGAGGGCTCCGGTGCCGGCGCCGGCGGCCACTGCGAGTGGTGGTGCCGGAAGAGTAGAAGAGAAAGTAGAGAATTCTAGTGAGAGAAGCTGCTCTCAACTCATCTTACCGCTTATCGGATGTCATTTATATCATTTGTGTGTGCTAGATTAGTCTTTTATGTAGTTGGATCTATCGGGCCCATATTAGCGGCCCAACCCATTATTTCTCTATATATACTCCTTTGGGAGCTTGTAGACCTTAGTACATAACTTACACATTTTTTATTATTCATCTTCTTCTCCACACTTTCATAGCTCAATCTCTCCATTTAGTTATATGCTTTGATCCCAATAATCTATCAAAAACGATTTGGTAAACTCAATTTTGTGTTTTCTCTTGAAAAGTTTTCCAGTAATTTTTTTTGTAAACACGTTTTCTGTTTTCCTTTTTCCAGTTTTCCAGTTTTCTAAAAATTTTGAAAATATCTCTGTTAGTAAAAAGATCCTAAGTTATTATGATTAAAGTTACTACGGAGTATTATAATCATTAAATTTAAGATGTCACATTTTTATAAACATCAATTTATTTTAGTCATGCATATAAAGATACGTAGTACGCAGGGACGGATCCAGGATTTCGAGTCAAGGGGGGCGAAACTTTTCGTTAGTGTAGGAGATAAAAAAAATCATTAGTGTAACGGGGCGAATTTTTTTTCCCTAGTGTAGCGGAGCGAAAATTTTCACTAATGTAAGGCTCTGCGGCTATTTTTATTCAAAAAAATTCATTAATACATACATGACGACATTTAAATCTATATATTACATTCTAAGTTTAGACAATGACAAAATAACTTTAATTTTATAATTGGAGTGCTCTAGAAAAAAGTATTGATACATTAAAGCATAAGAAATGACAAATCAATGGAAAATAATACAAAAATAAAAAAAGGATATATAACATTTTATTTAAATATAAAGAGTTTATAAGGTACACATTCACCAGTACTTTTAAAATAACTTCAATATTGTTTAACTACATAAGTCTTACAGAAATGAAGAATTGATTTTTGAATTACAATTTTTGTCTACCATGGAAGGTGTTCATAAGTCACAAGCAGTTCTTTTAATATTACAATAGTACGTATGATATTATTATTTTTAGAATAATATTATATTGCTAATTCATATATATATATATATATATATATATATATATATATATATATATATATATATATATATATATATATAGTGCATATTATATTTGTATTAATGCTAAAACAATTAAAGTTTATTACCTATCCAAAAAAGTCTCTTTAGAACGTAAGAAGTAAATGAATAGTGTAATTCAATGTCAATAAACATTTATAATTTGGATTCACTTCACATGGTCTAAAAACATTTATAAAGTCTATTTTTCAAAATTGTTTACTAATTATCGAATAAAGATAATTAAACATTATAAAACTGATAATTTTTATATAATAAGTATCCTAAATCTCAAATAATGAGTTCTTCTATTGTTTATTCAAGTTATGTAAATTATTTTAGATGTTCCTTTTTTAAATCTCCGATTAAGTATTACATTGTGTAAGACTATATATTAATTTTTAAAACTAAAAGTTAAGGGGGGCAATGTTCAACAAAAAGTTAAGGGGGGCGAATCTAATTAAAGTATCAAAATTTTACAAAAATATTACATATATAGTAGAAAAGTTTGAAAGTCTAAGGGGGCGGTCGCACCCCGCGCCCCCCTTAAATCCATCCCTGGTAGTACGTAGTACGAGTAGCAATTAATTAGTGTTTTAGAAATAAAAACATACGGGCAAATGGCAATATTACAAATTCAAATGAGTCAAAACATTAAACAAGAATAGAATCTTAAAAATTATTATTAATTGGAGAGCAAGAAAGCCATCGGATATCGATCAACTGGGGTATATATATATCTTGGGTTTCCTATTATCTTTAACTTGAAAGTGTATATATATATAAATGCGAGTGGTTAATTACATGAATTATAATATCTCATACAATTAATTCTCCGCAAGACTCATCCGAGCAATCATCAGCTATGGCGGCGCCAAGAATCAGCCGTATGTGGCCCACTATGACGGAAGATCCAACGCACGGAGAGCTGCGTATTAGAATGATCACCAAATCCATGGCGGGTTCGCAGCTTGTCTCGGTGAGGGACGTCTGCTACGCCTTCAACGTCAACCCTCGACTCTTTTACTCCTCCCGGGACTACGCTTCGTCTGAGATTTCCGTCGAGCTCGCCACCACCTTCGCCGTCAACCCTGCCTCCGCCCGCGAGATCGCCCGTGACATAGTGAGGTTCGCTCGCCACTTGATCTGCGTCGGCGGTGATGTGCGTTACGGATTGTCCTTGTCGATCAACTTGAAATGTACCCTCCGTTCTCCGCCGCCGCCGCCGGGTGAGATTTCCGTTCCCAAAATATTAGTAGGGCCAGGACGGTTGAAAACAGAGGTTTTCCGTTTGAAAAGGAAGAGGTCTAACGGAGAGAATAAGAGTGAGGAGGATGCGGACGTTTGTTCGGTGTGTCTGGATGAGTACGAGGAAGGCGACGTCATCACTCCGTTAGGGCCGTCTTGTCCGCATAGGTTTCACAATAAATGCATCGTTAAGTGGCTGAGGAGAAAGCGGACATGTCCCGTTTGCCGATCTCCAGTAGCGGCGGTTTAATTAAGCAATTAGCAGCAGATTTTTATCGTTTAGAAGTTAATTAATTTGACATCGGAAATTATGAATTTAAATAGAATTGAACCTGTCTTTATTATTGACTGTATTGCACATATATCTTCTTCCTAATTTCAATGTGGTTACGATCAGATCCCTAACAAACTCTTAATTAATTAATTAATCCATTTACATTAATCTTGCCGTGTACTTTGTACGCCATATATGATGCTTCAAATAAAATTAGATCCCGTTTGGAAACCCGCATTTTCGGCTTATCAAACATCTTTTTCACCAATCACGTAAATATTTATTTTGCGCGCTGAAATTTGTAATAAGCATAAAAAGTAAGGTTGAAGTTACTTTTCTGCCTGTTTTGGCTGAAGTTACGGTAGATGATCATTTTAGCTATTTTTTCATATAATTTTTTATTTAATTTATTAATAACAAATATTTTAAATATAATTTTTTCATGAATCAACAAAATCAACCAATACAGTCACTTCAGTCAGAACTTTATAAATTTCAACAGAATCAGCAAATTCAACCAATTTTAGTGTTACCTAACGGGCTCTTAGATTAATAATTCCCGGGTCAACTTAATTCTTTTTTACAACCTCCGCCCTCCTAATATTGGGACGGAAGTAAGTTGTGTGATTTTTTAGAAAAGTAGAATCATGTACTAGTAGTTGATAATAAAGTGGGAATAAAGTAATTAAGAATAAATTAGACCCACACAAATGTTACCAAATATGGTATGAAACAATAATCGGGAGACATCCAAAAATGAAAAAATGAAACAATTATATTATAGGGTGTGAGAGGGAGTAATTTCTAATTATATTATAGATGGCAGTTACGATACGAACCACTCAATCACCGTAGGTAGTAACGATAACTAGCTTTTATATATTGCTTTATTTACTTGTGAGCAGTGATAATTTTTGAATCATTTCCGATTAAACAAGTTAAGATACATTCGGACAATTTTGTATTCTTCTACGTCTTAAAAGTCGATGAATCATATATTCAGGCGGGGTATTAAAGAATTTAACAGCCTTTTTTAGCTCTATGGTATTACACTTGATGGATTATGGGGGGTATTACACTTGATGGATTATGGGGGTATTTAAAGAATATAATTCAGAGCGACTGAGCTATGGACTGAAGAAGATGATGAATATTAGTATTGAGTGTATAATATTGATTTTAGGTTTACAAGGAGCTCCAAGAGGAGTATATATAGAAAAATAATGGACCGGGTCGCTAATATTGACCTGATACATCCAACTACATAAAAAGGTCAATCTAGTAGATACAAATACATATTGAACTATACAATAATATGAATAATATCCGCTAAGCGTGCGTGAACCGCTGCCCAGACTCAAGAATCGTGAGACCTCGGTGGGGTCCGAGCCTATATAATCTATCAACACTACTCACGCATTAAAACATCTTGAATATCTTCTTAATCAGATAGTTACTTCCAATATCATAATTAAGCTAAGGGTATGTTTGACACAGCTAGCTGAAAAGATACTTTTATAAGCTTTTTACTAACTGTTAGCTTTTAGTGATTGAAAAGATCTTAAAAAGAAAAGGCAGTACTTGTTTGGTAAAAAGCTGACTGCTTGATTTAGCTCTGTTTGGTATACAAGCTGTTAAGACTAATTAATACTATAAGCTACTGACTTATCGGAGATGCTGTTCACTGTAGCATCTCAAAAAAGATCTTTTATTTTTATAAAAGCTCTTAAAAATTGGCATGCCAAACATACAACTAAAAGTTTTTAAAGACTTTTTAAATAGTATAAAAGCTAGAAGTTAGGGACTTATGCATGTCAAACATAGCCTAAACCATCATTATCTTCACATCTCATAAATGCTAAAGCATCAACTTTAGTACTTTAGTACTGATAAAGTACTAATAGACTATTGTAAATTGAAATTGATTTGTCATTAAATTGCTATTAAGTTCAATCATTAAAATTTATAATTTTTTGATTTTGCCATCAAATTAGTTTATCTAACATTTATGGAATACCTTCACATTTAATGCGACTTTTAGCTAACATGTAGGAGTGATAATAGGTTGACTTACGTGGAGTCCTATTTTGTTCATAGGAGGGTGAATATCACTCCCTTACTTCAATGCTTGCCATGTGGTTTATCTATTCATTTTTTTTCTTAAAATTGTTATAACTTTTTATATATGGTACATTTTTACAACAAAATATATCAATTTTTTAGTATTTTTATGATATTTCCAACGGTATCAATCTTGCATATAACAAAAATTAAAAAAATCCATTCTATTAAATACGTAGCTGATAGAGTATATCTCTAGAGAGAAGTGAGAGCTAGAGAGAGAAGTGGAATAATATGCTTCAATAGAATGATTTTGTAACCCCTATAACTACTCCCAAGGGGAGTATTTATAGAGAAAATACGGGCTGGAC